GCTTTAAAGATATTGTGCCTTCATATAAATAACACTACTCATTCAAAATATAATACTCTGCTAACATAAAAAAAAATATTACTCTTAACGAATAGCACTAAAATAATAGTTCAATATTTTACAAATGAGACCAAAATAAATGAGACCTGCCAAAAAGAAAAGGGAAAGGGTAAACCACCAAAAACCCATTTTGCAGCTGTGATTCATGCAAAAGTATACATAATTAGGTTCCATATATATGTCTATGAACGGGAGCATCCAAGCTCTTCACTACATCCACCCACTGCCTCTCTAATACAAATACAGAATTTTCTGATAGATAGCCAACAAACAAAACCGGATCTTTGAATGCACAAAACTCAAAGTTCCTTTTCTTATGTAAATGTATCTGTTGATCTATTTTTTTTCTCTTTTTATTCATCTTCGTGCTGTTCGATATAACTAACTTGTCGAGCAACTGATTTTGGTTGACGTTCGGCTCGTCGTCTTGATGAATTGGTATCCCAAAGTCAATTAAGCACATAGCCCTGCAAGGACAGAGAAATTACAAGCACTATAAATGCAGTGAAACTTTTAGAGAGTTTGCAAAACAAACGGGTTTGGAAGGTTTGCATGCATGCAACTCAATTCCTACGTATTTATATATTTCAACTTCATTTTTTACATACATGTCACCTTGTGAAAGTTTAAATGGTGAAAATTTTTTTATGTGATCTGAAAGAATGAGGTCAGTAATGCAGTATAACACTTCATTACTGTTTGGGGCAGCTTGTGCGTTTCAGGATAAACAGCTTATCCTGAAATGTGGCCTGCAGGTCGACCGCGGGCATCGACCCACGGCCTATGTTTAGTGTAAAAAACTCAAATACGCAGACAACATTTTCAAAAACGCGCAAATCAAACGATTAGATGGCGTTTTCGAAAATGCCGCCGCACTTATAAGCTGCCCAAGTGCGAAACAAACGGGTAGGCGGCGTTTTCGAAAATGTCGCCGCACTTATAAGCTGCCCAAATATAAGCTGCCCAAGCAGGCCCTTAATTTGCAATCCTGCATCTGCCAAAAACGTGATCGAGAGAAAAAGATAGCAATTGAAAATCCTCAACAAGATGTTTAAGAACTTACAATGGAAGATATGCAAGTGAAAATCCTCCAAATGCAGTAGAAATTTGTCGCCTCTAAAAGAAAACAATCTGGTGAGGTCACACATAGGTGGCTCGCCAGATCGAGTGAAGGAAGTGAATCTTTTTCAGTAGGCCATTTCAATGACAAAGAACCACCACCTCAATGATTCAATATGGAATATCATAAGAGAAGTCATGATCTTAAACTAAAGGTGAATTTATTAGATTTTGATAATTGCATAGATCTGGATGAGTTTATTGAGTGACTTCAAATAGTGAAGGAATTTTTTTAATATAAAGACGTCAAACTAAAAACCTCCACGTTCTGGAAGAACGATTTCTTATGGTGTGAGCACTTGAAGCATCTTCGATAGCAAGAAGTGAAGAGTAAAATTACTATATATTCAAAGATGAAATGAGAGATGAAACATAAGTAAGTGCCAATATGGTATAGACATGACATGTATATTCAAAGATGAAATGAGAGATGAAACATAAGTGCCAATATGGTATAGACATGACATGTTCTTCAGGCTGCATTACTTATAATAGCAAGATTTCTCTTTAGAGAATTACACAAGCTTGAGCAGCTTATGTTGAAGTGTAGGCTAGTGGATCATGTGGAGAACACCTTAGCTCGATGTCTGGGAGGATTGAGATTGTCTATTGACAGCACAGTCTAATTATTGTCGTATTGGACATTAAACGATGTTCAGATCCTAGCTTCAACGATGGAGAAACAACATTATCGAGTGACCGCCTCATCTTACAGGTAAAGTCCAACCTTAGAATCAAGCAAGAAGAGTACACCTAGTAGAGCATCAAAGTCGACCCAGCCTAAGGAGAAACTAGTTCGGAGTGGAGAACAAGTGGGCCAACGGCACTCCCTGATCCGTCCCAGCCAAGGAGTGCTTCAATTGTTAAGGTTTTGGGCACAATGCATCAGATTACCAAAACATGAGAATGATCTCTATCAATAAGCAAGGAGTAGTTGAAGAAATGGGCAGTGACATGAAGAGAATGAAGATATAAGAGAAGGGATTCAACTTCTAGCTGAAGAGAAAAAGACGCTAGTTATTCAAGATGAGCCCATGAGAGAGACTCCAACTAGATTAAAATTGATTGATCTAAGAGATAGTGAGTCCAAGAAACCGACAACAGTAAAAAGGCAACCCTTATTGAGGGAGCTGTTGGATATCCTGACAAATTATTTACCACTTGCGTGGTTGCCGCTAAGAGCGTCCAGCATGCTACAAATTTCATTTTAGAGTTGGTTCCTCTAGACAAGCTTGTTTATAAGATAAACTCAGTCAAGTACGAGGAATGGGAGAATCATATTACATGTTTAATGGTTTGAAAATTGGTTTGCGAGAAAACTCATGAAATTTCAACTCTAGTTGTCCCCAAAGAAGATGACTACTTATTCTATTAGGACAAACTTTGGAAAGACTTATATGTTTTGAAGTTGCCTAAAATGGACTTGAGCGTAGATTTTGTAGTGGGACTATCTCAAACATAACAAGACAATGATTTTATTATGACGGTGGTAGATCGATTCCAGAAGATTCCAATAAAGAATGTGAAGCCCTTCTTACCCAGGAAAAATGAAGTGGGGCACAATTGTCACGGATATGAGACGCGATTGACATGGAAGCGGGTCGCAATCATCACAGAAGTCAGGTCCCTAAATATTGCAATTCTACAAATATACATGTCGTAGTTTTTGCGATCGTGACATTAACAGGCTCGTGCCATGAGATCTTTTTTTTTTTATATTTTCAATATGTTTCCTCCTTCCTCGTTTTGTCCTATTTTCTAATTTTTCATTTGGTATTTTCAATTAGGGTACTTTTATCTAATTTGCGTTAATGTTTTGGATATTCAATACTGTCGATTTTAGGAGTGTGAGAGAGTTTTCTCTGTACTATGCTCTTAGGAGTGTAGTATCCTCTTCCTCTTGCAAGTGATGTATTTGTATCTGCTTAAGAACAGGTAATGGATACTCCTCGCTACTCGTATCTTGTCATACCTCCATTCAACCGCTGCCATCCGTCTGGAAAGGACCTAAACCACTCAAATTTGTTGTCCCCTAGCAGATTTCGATGTTTATCTTCATCCAAACGTTGTCAATTGATACCCATCACCACTCCAAACGCCATCGAACTCAGAAGATGGTGAAAAATGTCTTCGTCATTATTGACTTTACATAATTAGTTGTGATTTTCTTTATACTTTTTTATTTAATTTTTTTAGTTCAACCTACATAGACTACGCATAAGGTTAGAAACATAATAGAAGCCAAGGTCGATGCTCCTTATATACCTTAGAAGAAGATAACTCCAAAAGTTTGCGACATGGCAGAACAAAGTTATATGCCCCACCCGAGAGTTGCTATTATCTTAGAAGTAAATGGAATGATGAAAATCACTCATTCTTTTTTGTGTTTTCCTGAAACATGAATATGGAGGGGATGCCAAGTCTCTGATTATTAAGCATCAAGGTAAGAAAAACACAATATGAGGATTGACAAAAACATAATGTGCATTGGTTTGAGAGCCAGAGAGTCAAGCTGATGTAATCTTTTATGAGTTCGACGAGAGACGGTTAGTGCTAGTGTTTGATAATTCTATCAGTATTTGAAAAAGGCTTCATTTCAAAGCCAATAGAGCAATCAAAGGATACCATAAAAGAAAAGAGGGTTGATAGAGATGAGTTAATTAATTACAGATGGAGAGACCATGCTCAGCCAAGGCTAAGGTGTAAAAGAGCAATCACTTAATGAGATCAATTAGCAAACACATCTACAAGCGAGAATGCATAAGTCATAAGGAGTATGCGAGTGAGACACATACAAGCGGGAATACATAAGTGACAAACTGTAAGGAGCATGTGAGTGAGAAGGTTGTGGGTATGAGAGAGTGTGCAACAGAGGGAATTGTGGAATTAGAGGGGCATAATATGGTGATCAATGTGGCATGATACTCATGATAGGGAAAGTTGGAGATGGATAAAATCAGAGCTAAAATCGAGTTAAAGTGTTGCAAGTAAGAGATGTAGTAAAGCTAAAAATGAGAACACAATGAACACAATCAATATGACAAAGCGTTGGCGACTTAGCATGGGAAAGCAGGCAAACAAAGAGAGCATGCAAGCAGCAGAGTAGCAAGAACATACGGTGGGAGATTGGCAAGCGCATGCAAGTGAGGGATCAACTTAAAATTTGAATTAATGACAATTAAATAGCATTAAATTGAGAAGATGATGATATAGAATATTGCTTCAACTATAATAATGATACAATAAAACAATTTGACATGGGAGTAAAGAAAATGAAACACGCCATAGCTCACACAAATACAGTAAATGAATACACAAAAATTGATTTTCTAAACAACATACATATAATTTAGAGACCCACATCAATACAACTTGTAAAATTGAGATTGAAATAATTTTCATGTAAAGAATTGACTCTTGGTGTGGGTTTGCCATGCAAATTCCGACATTTAAAGGTAGGACGATAAAATAGAGGCAAGCGAACAAGAAAGAGATAGTTCGATAGATAGCGAGAGAAAGAGAGAAAATGAGTGCATTGAGACAATGGAGCTCATGTGTTTGGCTTTATATATATGCACTCGTAGAGACTAAAATTATGGTATAGCTTAATTTCAAATTACAAATTAGCTCAAAAGCGTTACCCCAAATACTGAACTAACTCCAAAATTTTAAAATCAAGAATACACCTCCAGGTTCAAGTTTAAATTTACCAAGAAGCAATCATCACCAAAGCATAAATGCAAGTTAGCTATTCTTTTTCATAAATTCCATATTTTACTGAATGAATTTCTAATCAACTAAATAATCAGTAATTAGGGTTTCCTTTCTGAGAAAAAAATGAAACCACGCTGGATAATAATACAGCAATGAGTGGCAAATCTTTGCTGAAATAATAAGTTTATCCATTACTTTAGCTTTATAATCAAACCTCAAATCTTCTTGATACCAGCTATAAAACTCTCACAGCCTAATTTCTTCAACTTCTCAAAAATACCACCCTGCTTCTTCATATTCTTCAAATCGGATCCAATGGGAGAAGCTGTTGCAATGATAACAAAATTCTCACCATCTTCTACTTTTAGTTCATACAATTCACAGAAAAATTTGCGAAGAAGCTTAATCATCATTGCATATAGTGATTCATCCGAAGGAATAACATTCACTACCAGAATTCCCTTTGAATGAAGAGCCATTCTCGCCCCAGCAAGAACATTCCTCCGTAAAAACTTCGCTGGTGGCGCGCCAATACCATTCATGGGATCTTCTTCATCTAAATCCACCATGATGGCATGAAAAAGTTTACTCTCCGATCGTTCCAGGGCATAATCCTCAATCAATCTGATTCCATCGTCAACAAATACCTTTAGGAATTCGTCTTCAAACAGTCCAAAATGCCTCCTTGCAACGCTCAAAACCTCTTCATCGGCCTCCACCCCCAATACACGAAACCCAAAACGCCATCTCAGAGCTGTAACCAGCGGCCCTCCGCCAACCCCAACACAGAGAACATTGCCAGACCGGAAACTACCAGCGGCCCTCCGCCAACCCCAACACAGAGAACAAATGGCACATTGCCAGACCGGAAACCCTCATCGATAGCAAGACCATTCAAGAAAAGCGCAGAAACCATGGGCCCAAGATAGGGTTGCACTAACGAACCCATCTCCGGCCGAAAGACTTCAACATCAACCGAATCGGGAAGTAGCCGTACCTGTGTTTGAATGAGATTGGGCATCTTCTTGAACCGCAACCGGCGACGGAGCTCCCGTAACTCAGGCGATACTTCAATCTCCACGTCCTCCACCAGCATCTCTCCGGCTCTGTGTCCGACGACCTTCTCAACAGGATTACAGCGAATTACGCCGTCCTCATAAACGAGAAAGGGAATCGATGGCATGCCATTCACAAACGCAGCTTTAGGGCACAGCGCATACAGTAGAGGCATTAAGCTCTCCTGGAAGCAATCCAGTGACGCACCTTCGCCGTCTGACTGGGAACGAGAATAGGGCCGCGGCAAGGAAGACGAACAGGACGGGAGGTTGCCAATAAGGACGAGCCGAGAGATTGAAAGATTGGGAGAGGACAAGAAGAGGAGGAGCTGGAAATGTCCGGCGGCGGTGGAGAATACCCAATCGTCTTCACGGCGGTTAGGGACAAGCACGGCGGCGATCGCCGGCGGGGATGTTTTAGACGGGGAAGACGGAGCATCAGCGACGGCAACTCGGAGGGTTTCGGAGTAAGGGTTTTCTGGAGAAGGTAGAGGGTTGGGAAAAGAGAAGCAGAGGAACTCAAAAGGCATGAGATGCTCAAAGACTGCGGGCTCCATACCTTCCGCGCCCATTTCTCAACGAAGTCTATAGTGTGATTAATCTGAATTAAATATGAAGTCCCAAAAATATTTCAGTTTGTTAAAATAGAAGCCTCGAGTTTGAGTGAGCTCAGATTTAGATCGTGTTTGACTCATTCAAAATTGCTCGAGTTTTAAATTGACTCGTATTCAAAATTGACACTTGAACAATGTGTTCTTATTTGGCATGAAGTTAATATTCTTGTTCGTGTTCCGCTCGAAATTTACTCTTTAAAATTAATAAAAAAAATAGATGTAGAGTATTATATTCGAACATTGACCAAATATATTTAAAAGAAATCATATAAACACGTTATCGCACAAACTATTATGACTTAAATTTAGTTATAAATATATCTCCTATATTATTATATAAATAGTTATTTGATTTTCTTATTTCGAGCTAAAAAGTGTGTAATACAAGCGAACAAAGAGTTATTTGTGTTCAGCTCATTTATAATTTAAGCTTAAAAAAATTGTTTGTGTTTGACTCGTCCGAACACGAGCCACTTAACAAGCCGAACACAAGTTATTCGCGAAGAACGAACTTTTTTGACAACCCTACTCGTCATAGCAATCGAGTATTTTCCGATATCAATTATGAATGTGACTTTTAAAAAAAATTAATTAAATCGTGATGCTACTTCAAATGCACTAATAAACAACTCTTATATCTTTTTATATCTAGGAATTATATTTTAATAATTACTTATAAATCATATATATCTTTAAATTTCCTAAAAATATTACTTTTATTATTTGTAAGAAATTAAATATGCTTTTTTTTCATATAATTTGATGTAGTTAAGATACTAAAATACTATGTGTAAATATTAAATTTTAGATGTAAGATAATTACATACATAGATATGTGATATGCATATAAATTCTTATGAGGAAACAAAAAATGATCTACATATATCTATGTTGCAATAGTATGTCATTATAATAAAATAGGTTATGTTGGCTAAATGCAAACTACATGTATTCGCTAAATAGGTGCCCTAATATGTTAAAACATTTCATAGATATGTCTAA